TGGCAAGAGTTAGAAGAGTATCAAAGATTACATTACAGAGGCCCAATCGAGAACATTGTCAGATCCGTAATTATTTGTTCTTACATCTGTTACGATTAGAGAGCTTTCAAACTTCATACTTAGGCCTCAGATTTATATAGCTGAACAACAATGACGAGAAACAGTCTCAACCAATTTATATTTTTACATTTCCCTGCTTAAAACTTTGGTGCCCACTAAAGACATCATAGAATTTTGTTCATAACAAAACATTAATATTACACTCAAGTACACGGTTACAAACAACAGCTTACTAAATACGTGCCTGCACCAGTCTCGCCACAGGCGATAGTTTTCCCACGGTCGCGGCCGGCCGCTCCGTGGCCGAGTATAGCCCGGCCATTTGCATGCCCCCACTACCGTATTACACCACCACTGGCCCGCTAGCCGACGGTTAAATGATTAAATCAATTTGAACAACCAGCTGATTCTTCAGTAACATTGGGTTGCAGTTATTTTCGAGATTTATGCCCACTTGCATCAAAGTTCCTGAATGAAAGGAGACGGTTCTGAGTCAAGTTCGAGTCTGCCGGAGACTCCATACAAAGGACATGGCTATAAGAAACTACTTTTTTAAGAAAATACTTTTTGAGAAGTGTTAATCAGTGAAATGGAAGGTATGATTCTAAGAAAATGCGGAATTGATGGCTCTGTAAATAATTGGCAATATCTTTAACAAATGTAGCAAGGTAATGACGTAGTAGGAGTTTCCATAATTTTCAATATTGTAACTTTATCAAAAGCTACTGAGCCTTTTCTCATAGAAATTATACATTTTCAGCCATTCAGTACTAAATATTACTAAGTACAATATTTATACATTGCTAGGGCAGTCGCTCATACAACATTTTATCATCTCCTTTTCATTACATGTAGTGCATAAAAATTTGGAAATCCTTTGACAAAAAGCTGAAATTTATTTTATCTCCCTTTTTTAAATAATTATTATAATAAAATTGCAAGTTTATTTATCTATTTTTGTTGCCAAAGCATCAAGTATATTCTATTCAATGGGTAAATAAAGCGGCAATAGTTATTCTGTTCATCGTTCATCGTTCATTACATTATTAATTAATTTTTCAAGAAGAATCAATCATAAATTGGTATAATAAGTTTACCCCGATTTCACAAATATCATGCACGATTGGACTGATTGCATTTGCTATAGTGATCGAGTTAACGTTATAAGCTGCCACACACTCAAAATATGATGACAAGGTGATCAACTTTTTTTTAATCACAATTTGAAATTCATCCAAGATAAATAAAAAATTAAAAGTATCTGTTCATGTTATAATACAAAAAAAAGCTTTCAAATTGTATAGGTATATGTTTCGTCGCTGCAGGAAACCGACTAACACTTATGAAATGTCTTCATTAAAATTAGCTTTTGCATTCTTTCAGTAAGGCTTAAACATGATAAGCTTTTAAATTTTATTGTCTCTGTCTCTATTTGACCATTATTTGATCATGACGATGTGTTATCGGTATTACGGGGTTCAGCCTTGATAGAATTAAATTAAGTATGTTGATGCAAAGGCCAATTGAACTTAACACAAAGAGTACGTTACTTCATCTGCGTAGAATAATATTAATACTCCTTCATAGGTTTCATTCTTTATTTTATGCCCTCCAGAATTATTCCGCGAAAAATATTAGTAAGTACTCCTTCTCCGGGTTCATTTTATATCTCATCATCAGCTCATACTCGTCGACTACTGAATATAGGTCTCCCCCAATGCACGCCACTGCTCCCGATTTTCTGCCACTCTCATCCAGCCCACTCCAGTCAGCCTACGAATGGCATCATCCCATCTTGTCTCAGGGCGTTCTACACTACGTTTATCGAGAACCATTTTATATCTGCTAATACGAAAATTCAACTTAGTCGGTTCGATACTTTAGCGTGAAAACAGCACAATAAAACATTGCACCCGTAACTAGGTAATTCATAATAGTTTATATGAGCAGTGCGCATAATGTGAAGAAAAGTTCTAGTGGTTTGATTTATTGAACTTGATTCTAGTAATCCAATGTTAAATAAATTATATTATTTATTTAAACTTTATTGCCACAATTACAAAAAGCATTATCTGCCAGTCAACCTCCAGGAATACAGAAAGAAACGAATGCGGCTTAAATTACGTTAATGCATTTTAACGGGACTGTTGTCTTTCATGCTATTTTGGGAGCAAAAAGACCTAAAACAACTACAAATTGATATACAACTGAACTCAACTTCGACTCAAAGCAAAATTGATGATCGTGTGAACGTTCCAGAACAACCTTTTGAAGTGACTTATGCATAATCTTTGTTCATGTAAGGTGCCCCTAATTAGGTTTCATACAATACAGACAGCTGACTCATTAATCTGGTGCTTAACAAGCTTACAAGCTTTACATTTTAGCTGTTAATCTGTTTTTATTATAGTACGCACTCCCCAGGTCTCTTGCACAAGATCTCAAATTAAATATTTAGAACATCCCATTTACGTGCTTTCCTAATCATTACAGACCACTTTAAGTTATCATTTTTATGGTGAGGTGTTTCCCATTGCCTATTAAGTAAAAACCTCATGAATTTAGATTTTTTATGATGACCGGAAAATGGAAGTGTATATTCTGATAATTATAAAATAGATATGCAAGAAAAAAATGTATAAAGAAATAAACAGTCATACTAATTATAATTTTTATATTTTAAGCATGTAATTGCTTGATGTTTAAATTTAAAGAAAATGTAACTAGAAAAAAATCCACGCGCACCAGGCAGCAGACGGGGGATTATGGGTTACCTACAATGCGAAGAGATGGCGCTGCCTTGCAGCTTAAGAATGGCTAGAAGAATTTCGACGCGGCCATCAGGGCTGCGGTAGCATAATTGGTCAGTGCATTCGCCTGGACAGCGAAGGGTGCGGGTTCGAAAATTTTTCTAGAAAATAATCCAAGCGGACTAGGCAGCAGACGGGACTGGTCCGCGTGGATTTTTTTCTAGCAATATTTTTTTTCTTAACTCATACTAATGAATAAAGAAGGCAACTGATTGGTGTACTGGTAGCAATCCAGGCTTCAGCTGCAAAAATCCTGGGTTAAACTGCCGGGGCAAGAGATTTACTTGCCTCATCATCACAGCCTATTAATGCCCCCACTGCTGGGGCACAGGTCTTCCTTATGGATGGACTAGGGAGATTAGGCCGTGGGGTGCTACGTCGGCAACCTCCTCGTGTGCCCGGTCCATTTCCTGTCTGTGGTCAGTTATGATAGGGGAACGGAAATGGGTTCGGGACGGTGCATCCCGGGCATCTGCGTAATGTCTCCCACTGAGGGTGCTGTTACGGAGGTGTCGAATAGCCGACAATCTCGTAACCACGTACGTAGTGCGGGGCCGAGGGCCGCCGTCTGCAAAGGAACTGTTTCCTTTGGAGGCGGGGGCTGCGAGGAAGACAACCTCTTTAAAAAATCACCCGAGGGGTCTCTCGGCCGGCGCCTTGGGTAGCCCGGGTAGCGGTGGTCGAGACTCCATAGGTTGAGGCGGAAACGCCATTGGTGAGGGCGGTTGCGGCGCGAACTCCGCGTCGCTTCCGGCCAACCCGTAACCCCGCACGTGGTGTGGGGCCGGGGGCCGCCGTCCTTCGGGGCGGGGGCTGCAAGAAAACCTTTTCAAAAATCACCTTTGAAGAAGGCCAGGTAGGGTTCCCTCGCCCCGAAGAAGGAAAAATCGTTATGAATATGTCGACCTGTGAGAATGTTTTGTCATGCACCCCCGCTGACATCGGGCGCTCTGAGGTAGCTGGGCCTCAGAGTGGGAAATTTGCTACTAGCGGCTCATGCGCTCCGGCTGGAAACCGGCGCTGCGGGATTACCGGGTCCCGCAGTGGTAAATTTACTACCGAGGCGTGTAAGGGAGACTTTGCAGATGTTGGCATTCTGCGCCTTAGAGGCGGGAACAGCGACATGGAGGAAGAGGTAGTGGACATAACACCTACGCCACCTAAAATAAACACGGCGAAGAGAGGGAGACGCAAGATTGTCCTGGGTGTTCACTGCAAGCCGCCGTACCCTAAAATGGTGGAAGCAGGGGTCAGGTACTGCGTCAGTGACGTGAGCACCCTAAATACGAGGGAAATCAGGTACGGGATGCAACAGTGCCTGAAATATATTGAAATGGTCGCGGAGGATGAAGTCGATAATGAGACGTCCAGGGAGAATGTCCTGGTGGCGACAAACCAAATAATCGACTTCATGGAGGTGGCCCTGGAGAAGGCAGACGCGACGGATAGGCTAGATAGGGTGGAGGAGGAGAATGGTCGACTCCGGGAAGAGAACGAGTGTCTCAGGGCGGAGGTTGAGTCCCTGAAAAAGGAGGTGGACTCACTGAAGAGGACCTTGGAGAGGAGAGCTCGCCCTGCGCCACAGCCAGTCGTGTCACTGACAAGCGAGGCCGTCGAGGAGCTGAAACGCTCCCTTATGATTTCCATAGGGGAGATGGTCAGCACTCGACTGGCCTCCTTGGAGGAGAGGCTCCCGCCTCCGAAAAAGCTCAGGCCGCCGTTAGCAGCGGACCGGCGGGAGACGGGGACCTCGGTGCGGGAAGAACCGGCGGATAAGGCAGAGAAATGGAGCACGGTTGTCGGGAGAGGGAAGAAGGCGAGAAGTACAGCCGCTGACACCATTTCTGAGAAGAAGAAAGGGGAGCCCACGAAGAGCCAAAGGGGACCAGCCCCAAGGAAGGCGGAGGGGCCTAGAATAAAGGTCCCGAGCACGGCGGCGGTTGAGGTGCGGCTGAAGCCTAGGGCGGAGGAGCAAGGCCTCACCCACAGCAACGTCGTGGAGATGGCGCGGGCGGCCATTGAACTGCCGTCCGTTGGCATAGAAGAAGGCCTGGTCATAAAGACCAGCCAGACTGGGTCCAGGCTACTAATAGTCTCGGGCCCAGATAGCAGGTTAAAGGCGGACGCCCTAGCCAAACGGATGGGCGAAGTAGTGGGCGACTACGCGGAAGTCGGCAGGTAAAACCGAGAAGATGAGGGTGACTGGGCTGGATGAGTCAGTTACCCCAGAGGAGGTAGTGGAGGCGGTCGCCAAGAAAGGGGGCTGCTCCACCAACGAGGTGACCGCGGGGAAAATGCACCCGGGACAGGGAGACACGAAGCTGACACTGGCCCGATGTCCCGCATGGGCCGCTAAGAAAGTGGCGGAAGGGGCCAAAATTAAGGTGGGATGGAGCCTTGCCAAGGTGGTCCTCAGCCGGCGCGTGCACTGTTTCAAGTGCATGGAGAGGGGGCACGCGGCAGCACGTTGCCCGGCGAAAGAGGACCGGAGCACCCTGTGCTTCCGGTGCGGGGCTGCGGGGCACAAGGCGGCGACGTGTGCTGCCCCCACCAGATGTGTGGTGTGCGCGGCGAGTGGTCGGCCGGCAGACCATATAATGGGGAGTGGGAGGTGTGACCCGCCGGTCACAAAGGGCAAACCTCCCGAGCGAGTGGCCTCTGAGGCGGCGGCCGGACGGATGCCCTCGGAGGGGGGGATGTCCGAGTAGCCTCGGTCGCTCGGACGCCCTCGGAGGGGGGGATGTCGGAGTAGCCTCGGCCGCTCGGACCCCCCCTACGTATGCTGTCGGCCGCCTTTCCCCCCCTCTTCTCCTAGGAGAAGACGCGGGGAGATGTGGGCGACCGGGAGGAGGGAGAGGGACGGGAAGAATTACGCTTCCCCTCCCGCTCCCCTCTCCCAGGAACGGCGGCCCTCACTTGTAGTTCTGACCTTTTTTTTTTTTAATACGCAGGTAAAAAATCTATTTACAGACGACGGCGCCTTTAAGAGGCACACCGCCGAACGGACCTCACACCTGGCTCCCGCAAGTCTTACGAAGCCCACAGTGGCTGCCCACTGAGGACCCCGCAACTCTTACGAGAGCTTTACGGTATAATATCCGCTAAAAAAGTCCTGCGAATACCCTCTAAGCTGCTTAGCGCGAAGCCGCGGGATCCCCGTTTAGGGATTCTTCGCGTCTCCGCACCTAGCAGCCTCCCGGCCAAGCCGGGGCTCCACGGCAGGGGTCTCCCGGGGTATCGCGGGGACCCCGCAGACGTGCGCGGGTAGGCCCGCGCGCGGGGGCTGAGTACGCGGCCTAGTGCCCACCGTACCGCCCCCCGTCCGCTGCGGAGGGCTACTTGGGCGTGCCCGTGTAGCTCCCTCCGCCGCCCCCCTCTTTGCAGGGCAGGACTACAAGGGGGGGCTGCCGTCACGGGGTCCGTCGGTGGCCGGCACGGCCATCGTCATGCCGGTCAGCGAGGGACCCCTCGGGTAGGGTCATGGGACGGGCGCAGCCAGGGCGCGCCGCCGTCCTCTCCTACCCGTCCTCCTTTTGCGGGAGGGAGCGGCCAGAGGATCATCCTCCCGCTCCCTCTCAGCCGCCTCCTTCTGAGAGATGACGTTCTCGCAGAAGGAGGCGGCTGCCTCCCACGCCCTGTCGCTGCGGAGCATGGCGTCCACCGTGCTCCGCAGCGAGAGGGCTCCGCATCCCAGCGCCGCAATGAGGTCGCGGCGCTGGTGTCGCCAGGCCGGGCACTCCAATAAGGTGTGCTCGGCCGTGTCGTCCGGGGCGCCGCAATGATGACATTGCGGCGTCTCCTCCCGACGTGCGACACGGTGCAGATAGTGACCGAAGCATCCATGCCCAGTCAAGATCTGCACCATGCGGAACGTGAGGCCGCCGCGCCAGCGACCCAACCATTCCTCCAACACCGGACGAATGGCTTCTATCGTCCGGTGGCCGGCGCTAACATGGGCGAGTGCCTCATCCCATCGCCGCAGAGCTTCGCTCTCGGCGATGGAACGGACCTGCCTCAGCTCTGCTGGGGCAAGTCTTTCACCCCGCTCCCTGGCCTCGACCCGACCTCGATGCATTTCTGCCAGAACCTGTGCATCGAGGTCCCACGGCGTCGCGCCTGCGAGCACGCAGGCGGCGCCGTGGCTGACCGTGCGGTACGCTCGCACGGCCCGGGTTGCGATGACCCTCTGCGGACGTCGCAAGAGGGCCCTCGTGCGGGGTTTGAGGCACTCAGCCCAAACCGGGGCTCCGTAAAGTGCCATCGACCGTATCACCCCGTGATACAGTCGACGGCACGCAGCACCTGGTCCCCCCACATTCGGGAGGACCCTGCCGAGTGCGGCTGCAGCGGCACACAGCCGTGGAGTGAGGAGCTTAAAATGCTCGACTTGTAGTTCTGACCTACAAAGGGGGGGCGGCGGAGGGTTCTTGGACGGGTACGCCCAGGAGTCCCCTCCGCAGCGGATGGGGGGCGGTATGGTGGGCAGTAGGCCGCGTACCCAGCCCCCACGCGCGGGCCTACCTGCGCACGTCTGCGGGGTCCCGTGGTATTACGGCCGCGGAGCCGTGGTAGAATCCCTAACGGGGACCCTGCGGCTCCGCACTAAGCAGTGTTGAAGGTATTCGCAGGACTTTTTTAGCGGATATTATACCGTAAAGCGCCCGTAAGAGTTGCGGGGTTCTCGGTGGGTAGCCACTGGGGGTTCCGTAAGGCTTGCGGGAGCCAGGTGTGAGGTCCGTTCGGCGGTGTGCCTCTTAAAGGCGCCGTAGATAGGTAAGGTAGATTAGGCCGTGACTAGGGTTACCATCCGTCCAGATTAGTCCGGACATGTCCGGACTTTTAGACTAAAGTCCGGACTTTGTAGGGATCTTTAAATTGTCCGGATTTTTAAAATTACATTAAATATGAATAATAAAAATACATATTGATTTAAATACCATACCATTGTAACTAAGTGGAGTAATGGTACCATTTTGTGAATAAATAACCGGACTTTTTTCGAAATGTCAGGCTTTTTGTCAGGACTTTTACAAATGCCTAAATGGTAACACGGGCCCAGTGCGGTGGGTGCTAACGACTGTAGATGCCAGAACCAACGAATTAACGTGTCTTCAAAATCACGGAGAAGCTCAAGATAATAAAACTTTGGTCACCCATCCGATAACCGCCTATTCCGAAAGTTAGTAAACTTCCACGATCAGGCCGAACACTTGCCATTGAGATCCTCAAATTTTACTTATCTGATGAGCACAAATATTTTTTCACGAGTGATCGTTGTTTTGTGCCTACATAGCTTTTAATGTATAATATCCCTTATTATCTAAAGTTCAAGATCTCCGAATCTTTTATTGTGAACCACTAGACTTGACAGGTTTACACGGGAATAAAACTACCAGTTAGCAGGGTAGTTTAGATCAGTCACTATTTCTCAAGGTAACGCAGCACTGGTAGACCCAACTAAAACGTAATCTTTGTGCTGTGTTTGTGAAAGTTGCTATTATAAAAGATACAGTAATATAAATTATCCCACTCCAACTCATATTAAGTGTACGAGGAGTCCACTTGCGGCAGAAAATTGTGCTGTTTCAGGCATCCTTAAATTTGCTACGCTGGCCCAAACCTTCAACCGTCATAAAATTTCATAATACATTAATTTCTTTTAAACTGTACTTCGAATGAAATGACTGGTTTTTCTTATCTCATAGTTCCCATGTAATTTGTGTACTATATAAAAATACACATACAACTTTTTATCTGAAAAAAAAAGCAAAAAATATTAACACGTTGATGCGAAGTTCAGCCACGGCGAGCGAGTTTGCCCGACTGAATGCAAGTCAGGCAATTACCTGACTTTCGTATTGCCAAATTAGAAGCGGGTATGAGGCATTTATAACTTTAAAACAAGCTTTGAGCTTCAAATCTTATACTTTGACCATGAAATTTCGACAGTAATTTCTGCGCTCATAATTATACTGAGACCATCAAATAAAGCATTACATGGGGTAAAGTGTATGAACATCAACATTAAATATAGTTTTAGTAATGTAAAATAGGGTATAATTATGAACTACAATGTCATATTGTTTCGTAAACCAAAATGACCGTGCTCATCTTGTCTAGATTGGCGGTTGTGTAAATTATGATGAGATGGTAAGTTTCACAATACAATCGGTACAGAACTCTCATTGTGCGAAACATACTGTTTGTGAGAATTTTTTTCGGGCAGTATCATTAATCAATCTGAGACATTAATAAACATAAATCCGTAATTCAGTTTTATCAGATTACATAATGTAAAACTGATTTCTCTTACGGTGAGCTTTTAGCTATACTAATATTATAAGTTTGTTTTATTTGATTGATAGAACGCGCTAATCTCAGGAACTACAGACTTAAGTATATTCTTATTTTTTAAACATTTAACTGGTATTTACACAAAATATTATTTTGAGAAAAAAATAACTGTTTATACTTTAAACATAAAAGTTACTTACTGTTGGTAGTGAAACTAAACATGGTTATAGAGTTGAGGTACGAAATAAAGCAAGTTTTATCTTAATGCTAGTGGCCCGCCCTCGCTTCGCTTCGGTGTAGAGCTGAAGTGTAGACTACAGTTTTTGTTCTCAGGCTTGTATTATACACAATGACATTCATCTATGATTCTTCTTATACCTGCGTGCAAATTCTCAGCCCGATCGGCTTAAAATTGACTAAGTTTCATACAAACTTTCATTTCCTATTTTATCCCCTTGGGGGTAGAATTTATTAAAATCCTTTCTTAGCGGATGCCTACGTCATAACATCTACCTGCATGCCAAATTTCAGCCCGATCCGTCTAGTGGTGTGGGCTGTGCGTTGATAGATCACTATATCAGTCAGTCACCTTTGAGTTTTATATATATATAAATACGCGTCACGTTGTTTGTCAGGGATGGACTCCTAAACTACTTAATGATTTTAATCAAATTTGCACACCGTGTGCAGTTTGATAAAATTTAAAGAATAGGATAGCTTACATCTCAATTTATAGTCGCAATATTATTTTATTGCAAAATATTACTTTTGGGCGGTACGAAGTTCGCCGTGTCAGCTAGTATAATATAATTATATGTTGTGTATGTAAAGAGATAAATCTTTGTAATAATATAAAAAGTATTGAAGTTCTTTTATATTTATATTTTGGTGTAACATATAGATTATATAATTTGCCTTATTTATCTTCTTCCTTATTGATTTAGCTTGTTGTTCTTGTGTGACGTTCTTAGCGTAGTGTAAGTACTTGGTTACAGCTGTAAATCAGTGTTTTGTTCTCTATGCAAAATGATCACTGAGTTTTATTTGTTTTTATTATTTGACGACCTCCGTGGCCGAGTGGTTTACACGCCGGGTTTCATGGTGTCGCCGACTCGAGAGGTCCCGGGTTCGAATCCCGGGGGGGGCAGATGTTTGTGTGATGAATACGAGCATTTGTACTCCAGTCATGAATGTCTAATACGTATTTCTATATAAATACTAGCTGACCCAGCGAACTTCGTACCGCCATAAAAAAATAGGGGTTGGTGGTAGAAGAGTGAAAATTTAGGGTTGTATGTATTTACTAATGCTGTATCATAAAAAAATTAAAAAAAAATATATATCTAAAATTGAAAAAAAAAAATAGGGGTGGATTACCCTTAACATTTAGGGGGATGAAAAATAGATTACATCCGATTCTCAGACCTACTGAATATGCATATAAAATTTCACGAAAATCGGTCGAGCCGTTTCGGAGGAGTTTAACCATAAACACCGCGACACGAGAATTTTAAATATTAGATACTTATATATGTGTACATTATATGTATTCTATCCGTTACCCTAGCATCCCATAACACAAGCCTTACAGTGCTTACTTTGGGGCTAGGCTAATTGGTGTGAGTGTTAGAAATATTTATTTATTATTAGATGGTTATTTTTTACATTTTGTAAATGTGTGCCGTTCATACAAATAAACGACTTATCTATCTATCTACTATTGCAAAATAAAATCTTAAGATAAAAACTCTTGCAATTTAATCCTAATAAACTTTTTCTGAATTTGAATTTATAGCCAAATAGCTATAAATTCAAATTCAAATCAGAAAATAGCAAATTAACATCCTTTCTGGTTATATTTTAATTTGCGTACATGGAAAACGTATCGGTTTTTTTTCAGTAGATTTTATTGTATCTTCCCTGCTTTTTTTACTGCATCTTGCTAGATCTAATCTGACACAGGGTAGGATAGATAGATTTTTCTAATAAAATTTTCTTAAGGTTTTTACCCAAATCTAGTAGTTGCAGTAACAATTCTAAATAATAACAATAGTTATTTCAAATCTAAAGAAAATTATACTAGAATATGTGCCTCACAGTGCATTCGGATTATTTTCTAGTAAAATCGTTGTCATCTAGTAGTTGTTTTGAATATAAATATAATGATATGTATTTCTTTTTCATTTAAACTCATTTCTGTAAAATTTAGTTACATATTTGTAAAACCTATCAATTTGATTTTATTCTTCGTCCGAATAGAAGTTAAAATAGTTAGAATTCCCTATTTGAGTTATTAAATTCATGTTTACCATGGGCCACTTGCACCAACATTCTTAAGTTACAAATCACTGCATTTTTTACTTGGAAAAAATAATATACAAATGGTATCAGTCGTTGGCCAAAAATATTGTAGTTTTGGTTTACGGCAAAGTAAATTAAATTTTCATTGTTCATTTACAATTTTTTATGTTCTTAAGTGGGTTTTTTTTAGTTAAAACATCTGAACCATGCATTGAAGATTGCTGAATAGGGTATATTTCATAAATAAGTAGCGCTCAAGTAAAATTACTGTAATTACGCCGACTTACTCAACAGTGAGTTCGTGATCCATGTATGAGATCCAATAAGTGGGGCTGTCTAAATTTCATCAGTGTCTAATAAAATAACTTCTTTATAATTATAGAAGCGCTTATTGAAATATCTGTTATTATGATATGCATGCAACGATTTCAGTGCCAGCTGTGAAATTTATTGCAAAATTTCTTCAAGTATATTGATGCAGTATTTATTTATTTATTCAAGTTAGACATATCGGCTTACAAAAAATCCAAAACGCCGGCAAGTCATACATAAAAACATTAACATTCATAGAAGTTATTCATTCGAAATCAATAATATTAAGAAAAGCAGAAAAGGATATAACAAAAAAACAGTAATGTCAAATAGATAAGTACATATAAAAAAAATATTTGTTTATGTTATAATGAAATAAATAATTATTTCAAATCAATAAAACAATTAATCATGTCATATCATTCCGGGAAATTAAAAATAAGTATAAATTATTACAACCAGAAATGAAAATTTAGAACATTTTGTTGGGTTAAAAATATATTATTAATAGTTTACCGGTTCTTATTTATTACATTAGCCATGTTAATGTGATGCAAATCAACATGGTC